TCTGTGGAGCTGGAAGCTGAGAACTGGCGACTTTGTAGTACAACTTTCGTACATTATGCCCCATATTGCGGACGTGCGACAACCGCTGGTGTTGTTGGCTAGTTGTGGCTGCGCACACCTGTGTGCACAATACCTCGTACATCCGTCGTGCACATCACTCTCTTACACCTTCTCTCCCACCCCTCTGTTGTAGGAACCTGATATCACTTCCTGACAAGGCCGTGCTGTAGAAGCTATTGAGACTCTGACTGCTTTGTGCTTTAGAAACTTAAGATTCGTAGATTCATATGTGGGGTTATCCGGTCCTTTAATGTTATAGACTTTTTTTGTCTTTCGTGTTGCAGGTTACGGGTGACAGGAGTCGCGTAGCGGAGAATCTGGGCGAGGCAACAAACTTAGCTTCGCGGCTTCACATAAATTGCTGAGCGTATTTGAACACTTAGAGATGAATATTTAACTTTAAGTTGTTCGTTTCATTAATATATATATATATATATATATTATACATACTGTTGATGGACAAAATCCTGCACCACCTCACCACTTTACCCTGGAAGGGTCGCATAGCAACCCCCGTGCCCCCTCATTCAATGTTGGCGCGACCCCTTTGAGGAGGTGGTGCAGGATTTTGGACCTTCAACTTGTTTTTGTTTTCTCCCCCTGGTGGCCCCAATGTTAACGAGGGAGAACGAGAGCAGCAAGAAAAGTGTGCGCAAAGTGGTGCAGGATTTTGTCCATCAACAGTATGTTTAGATATTTCAAGGCATCAATGGAAATTCAAAACAGGTATTCTGAGTTTGTATCAGTTTGTCGCAGGTGGCTGCTGCAGCTGCCCTGGAAGTGATCCGATGTCAGGACTCCAAAGGCAAGAACACTGAGTGTTTGGTTTGACATGTCAAAGAATGTCTAGTATGTAAATAGAGAACACACATATATATATATATATCTCATATATATATATACATAACATATGGGGCCAACAGTTCAAGTGAGAAGCTGATCCAAGGGAGTCGCCATGCAGGCAGTGGCAGCAGAGTCAGCGTCAGATCGCTCCCCAACCTTCATGCCCAAGAGGCACACTTGACCCAGGTGGAAGCCACAGCTTCAAAGCAGAGTCCCACGGAAGCGAGAAAGGCAGCTGAAGCCACAGCAGAAGCAAAAGCTATGCTGAAATCCAGCGAAGCTGAGCACTGCTTGCTTCCAAAACCAAGTCCAAGTTCACCAGCAGTGCGGTGTGTGCGAACAGCTGCCGGGAAGTGTCGAAGACATCGAGGCAGACGCATCAGCTGACACAATTACGGTTTTTTTATACTGCTTCTTTTCGCTGACATCATGTTTATACATTTCATACTGTGGGCAAGACAAGTTCAAACTAGCTTGGGGTGTCAAAATTGGACCAGATGGTGGCAAGAAGCTGCAGCTGCCAGGCTTTCGGAGTCGCATTGATCAATGAGATTCTGATTTTATAATTGTGTTAAACAAGTGCAATGATTGCTTTCAACATGTTAGACCTACTGGTGAGCCGGTAAATCTTGGGAATCGGTGTGGGGGGCAAGAGCAGCATCTCTTCTTAACATTTGTCATTGAGGTCCTATAGCTTGCTCCATTTCAAGCGTGTAAAGTTTGCCAAACAACATAGCTTTCGAAAGGATCGCCTGTTTTGCTTCCTTTGTTATAACGTTGAACTGGGCGCTACCGTAGCGCCTCGTGTCCAGGTAGACCAAAGGCCAAAGAGCTGCCCTGGGGCACCCGAGAGAGCCAGGTGCAATCGAGAAGCCTTGGGAAAGAACGTGAACGACAACAATAAAACTGTGCAATGCCGTTTTTGGCATCATCCGCCTTTTTGCAACAGCAAAAACGCGAAACCCATGAAGATGCAAAATCCGGTGAACATGCGAAAAACACGCAAACCGCTAAAACTGACAAATAGTAGAAGAATGTGTCCCTGACGTCAGAGGTGGGGCTTTGCCAGAAATATTTATGTCACAATATAATAGACAATGTAAAATAAACAAGCGGACCCCGCAACATCAAAAGATGCATTCAAATGCAAATCAGGATCAGCGGATCAAGTGGTTGGGAGGACGAAACTCCTGAGGTGTTCAAGGTTCAACAAGACTTTATATAGTGACGAACACATGCTTGGAAACACTGCCCGAATGCACCAGACCAAAGGCTTTGAACCAAGAGAGGCGGCTCTATATAAGTGTAATTACTTTTGTTTGAATGCACTCTAAGTATTAGTATCATGGTTCTAAGTCGACTTTGAGTTCTACATGTCAACGCTTAGTTCCCCATTGAACATTTTGAAACAGTTCTCTATGGAATCTATTTTACAAATTTGTTCCAAGCTGGGACTTGGGCTCGCTGAGCTCCACTCTGCACAATGTTCTGATGAAGATGCTGCGTGAATCTCGGAGTACAAAGCCAACCACAAAAACAGTCAACAAAAACGATCATCACACACACCAAGATGACCGGGAAAACCATGGAAACGCGAAACCTGCGAAAACGATAAAACCACGAAAACTGCGAAAACACAAATGCAGCAAAAACTGTCTTCAAGATTTCAAGCCAAGGTTAGTTTCGGTTTTCTAGGCAATGGTGTTCTTGCTTTCTCCGTCTTCTAGGTGTTCTTGCTTTCTCAGTTGCTCGTTCTCTTGGGCGAATCCCTTTAGCTCGATGTCCCTAAAGACGATTGCTCAGCAACAAAAGCAACATTAAGAGAAAGAGGAAGGTCAGGGCCTCTTGAATAAGGGGCCTCATTCAAGAGGCCCTTACCTTCTACACTTGTTTTGGCTCTTTATGTAGTTCTTGCTCGAAGGAAGCCACATTTCATGCTCTGCAGCTGGTACACAGGGAATTGGCTGGGAACTCTGTTGGTGAGAATCGAAGCTGCAGGTAGCACACTGGCTGGACAACATCAGACCACGACGTCCATAAAGAGCCTGCGTCTAACCCTCGGCACGACAAGCAGCCTGTTGCGAACGTGAAATGACAAGGCCTTCCAGCCCTGCATGTCGCCACATTCCATGTAGGTGGTCCATGGTGGTCCATTGTTCAGCAAAGCAGCATCCTTTAGATGTTTTTGCTCCTGATTTAACACAAGTATTCAAGTATGCGTGTTTTGAAAGAAACGCTCAAGTGAAATTCGTTTGATGTCTTTCAACTCAGAACTCTGAAACGTTCTTCTCCCTTTGAGCGACCACTGTCTGTTCAGAACGGTTCTGTGGACTTCACCACTCGAGGTCGCAAGAACGACACGAACAAAGCATTAGAAGAGCAAGAAAAAGCGCTAGGACCTAATGCTGAGTATTTAGTATTTCAAGAAAAAAACACACATGCTGACAACAAATGATTAGCAAACACACAAAAAGTAGAGCTCGACCCCAAGGCCTGCTCGGGCTTCTGACAAATTGGTGGAAGAGACGGGCAGACGATTGAGACAAAGCGATGGAGCCAATCCAGACTTGGAAAGTGCATGCGGTTCTCGCTGATGTTTCACGGCCAAAAAGACTCCTTGCATCTCCTTGTGCTTCGAAAGCTTCCCCCCACGACATGTCAGGTCTTTATTGAAGGTGTCCATGCCTAAATGTTTGTCGCATTGTGACCCTTGACTCAGCTATCTTGGCTCAGCCAGAAGGTCACAGTGCAGGGTGCCAAGACGTCATCTTGGAGATCACTGCAAGTCAGCAAAGAGAAGCTGAAATCGACGAGTGGTGATACCGATTGCGAAATTTGGATGCAACGTGGTGCAACTACCGGGTAGCAGTTTCTACACACTACTCCCTACCTTCCATGCTAGAAGGCCTTCAGTCGAGGTGGCTACCCCTTGCTGGTAGCAACCATGCTTGTCATTCTGTCTTAGCTCCAAAAAGACTTACTCCTAAGATCTCCTATTCTCACTGCACGACTTTGCCTGGTGCGGAGGTGTGGCCATCATGGCTGCAACCTTGAGGCCGACATTAGAAAAATCAATACCAGGAGGACTTTTTTCGCTGCTTTGAATTGGCGGACTTCTCTTTGAAGGCCCATCATGAGCCGCCCTGCGGCAGCAGCATTTTTGACTCTTGGCTTAGTTGTCAATGTTGAATCTGTATTTTCACTTATTCCATTATTCTTGAATCTTGACTCGAGCCTTTTCGCTGGTTTCAAGAAATACTTATCCTTTGTCGTACTCTTTTGTCGTCAGACAATCTTCCTGTGTTGATTCGCCTCAGGCACTCGTACCTCATGTTGATAAGAACGATAGACATTTACTATTTTCAGTCTTTGTCTTTGTCTTATTTTGTTTCCATTCCTTTCCCTACTTCCATTTCACATGCCACTCGTATTGTATTGACAGGAATTTGGCTCAGGCATCGAGCGCTATCATGCCACCTGAAACTCAAGTTCACTCAATACATCTTGAGTTCCAGTGTTTCCATTTCTGCAGTGTGACTGTGACAGAACAAGTTGTGTAAGTTCCTGTTCGGCCTCGCCTTGCATCAGGCATCTGTAGATCTTTGTAGCACATCTAGACTCCACTAAAGCATGCCAGATTGTACCCCTACGAGACTTCTGAGTTCGTTCTTCTTTCACACGCGTGCTCCATCTCTCTCTCTCATCATTCTGTCGTCCGTGAGTGAAATGTGAGCTCGGCAAGGCTGCTGATCCCATTTCTTCTAGTTCTGGGCTCCCACAGTTCTGACACCTTTCTGGCTGGGGCCCCAGATGTTTTTGGTTTCTGTCTCAACGTGATGCTTGGGACAGAATCAGAAGGTACGGGCCTTTAGTAAGGCCTCTTTAGAGGAAAGAGGCCGCTACTGTAGCATTTAGGAACAAGGACGCTATTAGCAACCAAGGGCATCGCTACTAGGAGCAAGGACGCTACTAGTAGCTCCTGGCCTTACTACTAGGATCAAGAAGCTACTAGGAACAAAGGACACTTTTGACTTATCTCCGAAGGTGGGGCGACCTGTTGAGACCCTCCCCCCGAAGCCACGCTTGATGCCGACAAGGACGATTGGTTCCTTGTTCTGAGCGCCACAATCGATTTAGATTCACATTTTTTTAAAAGTGTTTGTTTCCCCAAAGTTCCACCTAAGATTGTATTTTCATCAACTTCAGGAGCTCAGATTCCAACCTCTGTGGAATGTTTCCAGTTGTGCAAAGCTGAGCAATGCAAATCTGTGCCAATTCTTCTCAGCCAAACGCCATGAGAGCAATTCTGTAGTTTTCTGTTTTGTCTTGTCCTTGACATACTCTCACTTTGGGCTTGACCAACAAGGTGAGCTTTGCCGCGACGATGGGCTTCATTGCTGCGGCGTGGGTCCCAGTATGTCTCAAGAGAAGAGCGCACTAAAAGCCTTGAGAATGACGTCAGACATCATGCATCATGATGCATGCAAACCACATAAAAGGTCTTTAGCTTCGTTTCAACATGCCTTTTAGTTCTACGTTCCATGAAATTTCCACTCGACTCTACGAGTCCAGAGGTCTGTTGAAATCTCAGGCCAAGGCAGCTGTTCAGCGCCGCTACAAGGGGAGCTACAATTTGGCCACAGACTAAGAGGACTTTTTCAGATACTTTTCCAAGAGCTTCATTGCCGCAAGATTAGGACTTTCAAGTTGGACTCGGGGGACTCTTTGACAATACTGGGAACATCTCTGGAAAGGAAGACGTTGGGATGAAGGAGGGACAGTCTGTACAGGGTACAATCCTTCTCAAGAAAAAGGCCTTGATACCTTGTGCAAAGGAGAAGATGTTAAAAAAGGATCAGGTAAAGTACCACAGGAGCAGTCTTTTTGACGGAGAATGCCCTTTCAAGGCAATCACTTCTCATGGTGGAGAAGCAAGTAGTCTTGCAAAAGGAAGACATTTAGCAATGACAGCATATACATGTGCAAGCAAGGTATTTGGTCAGCACAGGAGGGTTTTGCATAAGAGAGGACACTTGTAGATTAAGTCCTTACATAGCAGAGGGCATGAGAAAGGATGCGATTTGGACAAAGCCGGAGACTTTGTAAACGGCTTCTATTTCTTTGGTAATGGATAAGCTTGGATAAGACCCTTTTAAGTAGAGTATCGTACAAAGAATGTCGCTAAGCTGCTTGTGCCAGGATCTATAAAGTATTCGTACTCATGCACAGGTTGAGCACCTTGGACTTTGGTCATTTTACGAAGATACTAGGCCTAGCCTTTGCTATCGCCTTGGGTAGATGGGGTGGACCAAAACATCAATAAATCAAAAAACTCAAATAGACGTAAATTGATATGTAAAGGCTTGATTGTGTCATGGACATGTCTCTCTTTCTCTCTTCCCCTCTCTCTCTACACACACACCATCATACATAAAATAGATAGATTAGATATATAATAGATTATGTAGATGGTATAGATTAGATCAGATTAGTTTAGATTAGATTAGACTAGACTAGATTAGGTTAGATCGATCGTTAGATAGATAGATAGATAGATCGATGTAGATAGTAACATTTTTTGGAGGTCTTTTTTGTTTGCTCTCCCCCGACCCCCCAGAGTAGGCCTTCAAGTTTTTGTGAGCAAACTGTCGACTGGCTTTTGCTGATGTTTGGCTGTAAGAAAGCACTGTAAGCCACATATCTCTGGAGCAACCTTGCTGACGAATCTTGGGTCCGAATCCCAAAAACCTGAGCGGAACCCAGGATACACGGATGCCATGTGGAGAGGATATAGAGATGACTCCAGAAGAACAGGACGACGATGTCGCACTAACCTGTCCAACGCACGAACAAAGTAGACCAGCGATGCGTGCTTCCAATTTCTTTTTCTTGCAGGAGACGTGGCTACAGGAGAAATCTGCAGAACTTGAGGCACTGATGCCACTCACTGACCAAGAATTTCTTGATGAGGCCAGGTTTTCCACATTCGTTGAATGAATCACATGACACATTCCTAGGACACTAAATCACTAAGTGCTTGCCGGCCAAGGTTGAAGAGTTAACTTGGAAGCGCCTTCCTTGGTGATCTGAGTTTCTGACACATCAAAAGGGTTCTCGATTAGCACTTCAGGTGGGCCCGCCATCTTTTGCCCTTTGCAGACTCTTGGATTTTTTTTGTTGAGTCCATCAAACAAAGGCCACTGGAAGATTCTTTTGTTGCACATGCTTCACGCTATTAGGTTGGAGGCCATCGCTTGTAGGTTGGAGGCCATCAGTAGTAGGTTGGAGGCCATCGCTATTAGAAACAACTAAGAACGAAAATTACTATATATAAATAAATGTCATGTTACGTCCAAGATTCGGCTTTGACGTGTGAGAAGCCTTGCTGAGGACAAGAGGCGACATGAGACTGCGCTGCACAAGCGAAAGGTGATCCTGAAGCAGCTGCTCTGCCATGTGATTACAGGGTAGGATTGACGCTTTCAGAATGCAGCCGTACATATCGGACACACGGGTGGAGATATGACTCTGTAAGAAGAACTTGTCGAACGTGCCCATTCTACAGCAGCCAGGAAAGAGCTATTCAAGACGTTGCGTCTTTGGCATCCCCTTGCGTTGAAGTACCCATCACTGCTAAAGAGGCTTGCTGTCACGGTGAAGCAATGTGCAGCCATGTGAAACATATGGTCACAGCTGCTTGCCATGGCTCTTGGAAGTTGTTCTTGCCCAATTTTTTTTCCAAGAGAAGAACATTAGAGGATAGTGCCATTTCACACACTTGACACGAAGACATAAAAGTGCCCGAGCAGGTTGGACAGCGGACCACCTTCCTCGAGAGAGAACAGGGACTACAGAATTCACACCGAGTGCGATGCTTGCAAGTATTCCGACGACCCCAAAGTTGGCAGCTGCTTGCGACTGAGGTATTTGGCCAACGAAGAGAAGATCGCCAACTTTACCTATGCGGACCGATTTTTGTTGTTGCAAGAAGCCGTTGCAGAAAGCCGTTGGAGGAAGGGTGAACCGTTTTTTTGTTTATTACCGTTTTCGATGCAATGTCATTGAATTTTGCTTGGGTGGCTTGAAGCTGATCAGGTCTCAAAGATACTTAAAGCTCAGCACAAAAATCGACAGCATCAGACGGGCAAACAAAGCACTATATAATTGGTGACAGGCTCCAAAACAACGCTTTGCGAAAGAGACATGGACACGATTTCGCAGATTTCACACTTCCTAGTCTGAGACATAGAGGAGAGAGTAAAAAAAGCAGATAAAGAGCAAACCTTTATCACGACATGCTCAAGCGAGAATCTTATCCTTATTCCGGCTGTTATCATTATGGTGAGCGCGCATATCCTCCTGATGTAATGCTGGAGCCTTGTCAACTCACGCGCAAGTCTGCAAACAAATGTTGAACTGGAGGCATTGCGGCGGTGTGATTTATTCTTTAAGACTTCGTTTGTTTGACCCTACTGGACCAGGCCTGGACCTGCGAAGGGTGCATTTGCTGGGGCAGTCAGTGTGGCTGGGCGATATCTCACTGTCCTGAGTAGTTTTAAGTTTCCCTATATAAATTTCTAGGAACCAGATCATTAGCGTGAGCCATCCTGCGTCCATATGTAGTAGCTTAAGTAGCTAGCAGCTTGCTTCCTTACTTAATTAAGTAGGCACCTACTTAATTAAGTAGGAGCGGGCCAAAAACAGGTTTCATGCAGTCTCTCAGGCATCACCATTTGCAGTCTCTCCTCTCCAGGGCGCCTCATCTTCACCCTTCGCAAATCCAAGTGCCTTGGGACACACAAACACTAATCGAAGAGTGCCGAGAGCAACAGTTTTTGGGTTCCTTTCGATGTAGTTGGCAGTGTGATTGCTCCTAGTAGTACGACCAGGAGCCCCTAGTAGCGTCCTTGCTCCTAGTAGTACGGCCAGGAGCCCCTAGTAGCGTCCTTGCTCCTAGTAGTACGGCCAGGAGCCCCTAGTAGCGTCCTTGCTCCTAGTACTAAGGCCAGGAGCCCCTAGTAGCGTCCTTGCTCCTAGTAGCGATGCCAGGA